TGTCTGTTTGAGATCACTAACTAAGCTTTCTCCGATAAATGACAGAGTCGGAAAGTAACTGAAGCCAGGTTTTTGTGCACAACAGCTCGCTGCTTCAATCCTTGTGTCTTACATCTTTTTCCATCAGTTCGAGGGGTTGTTAGTGCAAAACCAACTCTGGTCTTGGTCTTTATGTGCCACGTAACTCATTTTGGCGTACCCAAGTACATGCATCCACACCTCATGCATTCAGCATGAGGTTCTTGATTAACGCCGTTTGTTGTGTTTGGACTACTTCGTGTTTGACTGAATCGTGTGTATTCACTTGTTGAGCTCTTTTCTCAGGTTCTCCCGGTTTTCCTACGGGGCTCAACTGGCAACTTGGCAAGCTACGTCCTAGTTGGCTGATAGGGCACCAAACCTCATAGGGAATCTCTTCAAATGGGTGATTTTCCGTTGTAAACCAGAAACAGTATGCCGCAGGTTCTTTTCTCTGTTGCTGTTATTATTTATTTTGATATTGGACACCTAATTTCGCTCACATCTGCATCTATTGTCTCAATCCAGATATCCAATGTTTAGCTGCATTCCTCAAAAGTCTTGCATTACTTTTCAGCACTGCCCTTCCTCAAACGTGCCACCGTTTTGCTCTGGCCGATGACCGCGTCTGTGTTGCTTTTCATTATCGCCACATTCGTACTGCAGTGGAACTTCACGGTATTTCTGTGGCACTTGTACCGGTTCCGACTGTGACGTTTATTTACCCCTTCCACTGTCACCTAATCCGCTGTGATTTGACACGAGGCCCACCATCAATGGCATCTCAATGCTATTCATTGGTTCACTGTTTGTGTACATACTTTCACTTCGGCTGCTTACAGCCTACCGATGCTTGTGCAAAGTTGTAGCACACGTTTTCGTCCTGGTTGCTCTGTCAATGCGTTTTTTACCTCGCTATTTCGAGCAGTTGCCACCGCAGTTTTCTGTAAGAGGATTTCCGGAGAGCGTTTCTAATTTGCCTGTCTTTACCCTGTATTTTTTTCATACTGTGGTTCATGCGTAACCTTCTAGATGACAACGTGGGTCAAGATCCTAACCCCATTGTTCAGTTTGCATGTTCTTTTGGAAAAAGCCTCCCAGTTGATGGACAGTCCAGTGCAGTCTGGTGCTGACCAAGACTTCATTGCATACAAGTTCCGGTTTCCTATGTGTTGCTGAACTATGACGCACTTCTTGGATCTAAATGGCCTGTTTCTGGATTTCAAATATTTATTAGAATGAAGTGATGGCCGTATCGTCTTTTCATCTCAGCTTTCAAAGTTCACATCATGAAGTTCATTGCTTAATCTGGTGGAATTCTGACCAGTGAAGATTTAGTAGGAATACAACGGAATGCATGAAAACGTTCCATATGTTGTTATGTCATCATATGGTCGGCCATAGAACCCTCACACTCCGATCGCCCAACGGTTGACCGTGACCGTGGCATCAGCCTGGTAGTTATGGCATCGAAGGTCCTCTCTGGTTTTATCCTTCGACGGTTGACTGAAGACAGGGCGAGACAGATCCGTGTCCTGCAACAGGGTCACCGATCACATCTTCACACCTCGACAGATTCTGGAAAAGCGACATTGATTCCAGCAACCAATAATGGTCGTGTTCTTCGATCTGAAATCTGCCCTTGACTCTGTGGATCGTCAGGTACTATGACGGTGTCTATGGGGCTGTACGCCAACTTCCGCGGGCGTGTGACGGTGTGTGGAAACATGTAACCTGAGTTCAGCACATCAAGTGATGTGAGGCAAAGCTGTCCTCTTCAAATTCGTGGTTGATATGATTATGGCAAATTCACTATCAGCCTCTAATGCCTGTGTGGTGGAACTTCTCCTGGGGCGTCCGCTCAGATATAATAGCTGCTGTTGGATATAACTCTGTTTTTATGTAAACCACATTAAACAATTTTAAATTCTGCCTCACGGTTTGGTACGCGCTTCACACCTGCAAAATGTAAAGTACTACTGCAAGACTGGGTAGGCTCGGAAACTAACCTCATGCTTGCGATGAGCCGATTGAGGTAGAGGAAAAGTTTGTCTACCTTGGGGAAATACACTCATTTGCAAACAAATATGGTTTTGCGAGATACTTACCTGGAACCCAGCTGAATCTCTGGTTTGCGCTCTTTGGGTGGCGTGGCAACAATGCACCGAAAGGATGCTACAGCTGAACGCTTTGTCTACCTTGGTGCTCTCGCGAAAGATGATGTTTCCATCCGGATTGGGAAGACCATAGCAACTTTTGTGAACCTGGGACACCTGTGACTTAGGTGTGACATGAGCTCATCCGTCAGGGGTAGAGTTTACAATGCTGCGGAACGATGCATATTGCTATACGGGTCAGAAACCTGGACGTTGAGCGGTGGCGACGCCAAAAGTCTTGCCGTTTTTGATCGTCGATGTCTTCAGGGCGTTGCCTGGTGGGGACACCGGATAAGGAATGCTGAAATACATCGAGTGATATTTGAAATAGATCACCCGCTCACGATAGATGAACTGATCACATTGCATAGGTTGCACTGGCTTAGCAACGTGCTCCATATACCAGTGGGTCGAATTCCTCGAAGGGTTCTTTTTGCAGAACCACGCGAAGGGTGGAAACGAGCTAGGGAGTTAAACAATGGTTTGGCAGCGAATTGTGAAAGCCAATTCAATTCAATTTTTCGGCTATAAACTGTGTAACGTAGACACATTGATTCCAGCTGCTACAGTTTTGATCACCGGAAAACGTGGGACGCACGGTATTCCTGCTTTGGACAGATTCAGTTGTCAGTCGGGACTCAACCACCTTGATGTTTCGTCACGTAGAAGCTCGCAGTTGTGCGCCATGTGAGATAGTTATATGGATCTTATCAGGACAGCAAAATCCCTTTTTTGGAAGTTTCGCTCATCAGAAGTACTTACGGCACTGTCTCCGTATATTGAAATCTTCGTGAGGTAGACAATATCTTCACTTTACTGTCCGTTACGGCATAAATGTGAACCGCTGCTGATTTTATTCTTAAAAGTTCGGTAGAGTTGAAACTCGGATGCACCGGCAGAGGAAGTCGACCTGCCGAAAGATGTGCTATGCTGAAATAACGACCTTGACCGCTTCATCGAAAAGCACCTCGATCCGAGTGGCAAACGAAGATGTCACTCATTCACAATCCTCAGTCAGCGCTTGTCCGATCTGTTTGCTTGCATTTGGGAAAAGGAGTTTGTCCCAGACAACTGGGGAGAGTCGGTGATAGTGCCTATTTTCAAAAAAAGGGGCGCGTAGTGAGTGTCGTAACCACAGGGGGATCAGCTTGACCCCGGTTGTAACGGGACTGTTGGAGTCAATTGTGCTTCGTTGCATTACGGTGGCTCGTGAGATACTGACGCGAGAGCAACAAGCGGAATTCCGGTCTGATAAGGGTTGTGTTGACCAAATCTTCACACTGCGTCAGGTGCTGGAACAACGGCATACATATTAGCCAACCATGATTCTAGTATTCCTGGATTTCCGAGGTGCATTCGACTCGGTTGATCGGTCTGGTCTTCTAGAGGCGCTTGCCCACCAAGGAATGCTCCGGAAGTTTGTAAATATAATACGTTTTTTGTATTCTCAGACTTCCGGACGTGTGAGAGTGTACGGAGAGCTCTCCAAAAGCTTCCGTACACAAAGCGGTGTCCGTCAGGGATGCCCACTCTCTCCATTCCTTTTCAACTTTGTGATCGATGAAATAATGAGACGAACTCTGGAGGGTCTCCAAAACCCTGGTGTTCAAATAGCCTGTGAATAAAGCCTTGTCGATCTAGAATATGCAGACGACATCGTTCTCATGTTCGAAGAGGAGGAGAAGGTGCAGTTATTCTTGGATGATCTGAGCAAAGTCATCCCGTCTTTTGGTATGCATTTTGCACCTACAAAATAAGGTCATGCTCGTGGACGTGCAGTCACTGAACACGCCACTTACGATCCAGGGAGAGGCACTGGAAGTTGTGGAGCGTTTTACATATCTTGGAAATTGTATTAGTTCTGACTGTAGTGTGACAGATAAGGTGAATGTACGAATCTGCAAGGTTCGGGCCGGATTTGCTGATTTGAGACACCTATGGCGTCAGAATGGTTTATCCCTGAACCCCAAGGGACGTGTGTATCAAACTACAGTACGGGCTGTTTTGTCGTGTGGCTGTGAGACTTGACCTATTCGAGCAGAGGTACTGAGGCGTCTTCAGGTGTTCGACAATCGTTGTCTCAGAACCGTAGCTCGTGTCGGTTGGTGTCGGCGTTTAACCGGACACTGCAAGCATCCCTGCACCGAAATACAATGCAGTCCATTTGTGGGCGAAGGCATACACACGGACTATGCCACTTTCGCCGTTCAAAATTTCGACTTCAGCTTTATCTACAACCCATGACATAAATCAGTTCACACGCACCGGCGGTGGTAAGTGTATTAGCAGAACTAACAGGAGGTTCGAAACGCCTAGCCAAAGGATGCGTGGCCAAAAAACTTCGCACCACGTCAAATGGGCCTAACCGAATACTGGGCGAATCCAGTGCCAAATGGCCGGCGTGTAGCCACCGAATCGACACAGATCACTTGAAAAATCGTGCGAATCAGGCGTCCGCAGAGATTGAAGTTCCTTGAAAACATACAGGTTTGTAGTTTTGGGCCTGTCCTCTGCACTCAACAGGACCTACGCGTCACTCTGGGACTGTCCTGCTTTCCTAGGTCGGCCACGCTTTTCTACAATTACGTAATGTAATGAACTACTTCTTATGCTGCTTTACACGTTTTGCGGCGTATTGGTGTACGAACTGAATTCATCCCGCAGCCGTGTTCTCACTACTTTGCTCTTATTGTCCAGGGGAAAAAGTACCCCAGCCTACAACCTTCGTTTGGATGACGGAAAAATATCTTCCGGTTGCAGTGGTACTTGATGGGGGCTTTCTCAGTGGAGATATTGGCTTCCAGATTTCGCGCGCTGTTGTACGATGCGGAAATGTAGCGTGACTGCTGAGGTTCCCCACGAACAAGGTGACAGCGCTAGCCGTGTATTCCTCGACTATGGTAGAGAGGCAGCTTCAGCCAGTATGTGGCGTCTAAGGCCGTTACCAGCGAGAGAAACAGCGCACCTATTCGTTGGGAAATTATTACTGGTGTATTTGTCAGTAGTGTACGTTTAATAACGCTTATTGCTCTTGCGAAAACGGGTTGAAACTTTTTCATGGTACAGAAGTCAGGTTGTTGCAGTATTGATATTCCAATGAGACCGTTTAGTTTAAAGAAGAACAATCAAAAGGGGTTTCAACGGATAAGTGAAGTGGCCCAAATGGAATCGTCTTTTAGCAGTAAAGGGCAACACTGATGCACTCCATTTACTCGTGGAGTCACAAATTGAACGAAGGAACAAGGTTGTCAGGAGTGTAGCTACAGAAACTATCGGTCACGATGGCTGAAAGCCTCAGTCATCTAGCTCTTTTCGAAATGTGGTGTTTAACATGGTGCTCGCTCGCAGCAGCGGTTCGGAAAACAGCCGTCGAGAGCAGGGTTCGAACCTGCGCGGGGAAACCCCATTGGATTTCAAGTCCAACGCCTTAACCACTCGGCCATCTCGACTTGGTTGGTCTGTTGTTTTTGTGAAGTATCAAAAAAACAGACATACAGGATTCATTGGCACGACACACGGGAATGGTGGAAATTCAGGGATGCCTCTCAAGAAACCGTTTCTGGACCGTCAAAGTTCTCAGCAGCCCTATAAGTAATGAGTTCTGTCTAGCAAACAGATCGGGACATTTCCGGATGTTCGGTATGGATGGAGTCCAAGGTATATACCGTATCACAAATTGCTCACAACTTTCCGATGTTTCGGTCTGGTCTGTCCTAAATGCTTCCCTCAGAAACAGTTTGGGGGTCACCTGTATGCAGTGAAGACAACAGGGCTGGGTCAATGGATTGACACAATCAGGACAGTTACTGGGCCATAATTTTTTTGAGACAAGTTCTCTCGCGAAGCCGCAATCCTGGTTCGCCAGTTTTAGCACACAACAATAAAATGACTAAACAGTACCCTTGATTTATACCTTGTAGAACGCCTTGAGCACGTTTATTAACCTGTCTCATATTTCGTAGTTGTATTCTCCGGAACCGAAACCATATGTTTACACATCTTTCCGCTTTGATCCATTAATTTCAATTTCTTCCTTAGATAGCGTCCCGTTGCTATTGTTGATTAAGCCATTTAGGCATCAGTCAATAAGGCCTACTAAACGGAAACTCCGAATTACAGACTTCTTTGGGTTTCCTGGAGTATATTCGGACGACAGCGAAGCCAACAGAGGAACGTTAGAAATACACACCTACACGTGTATATCTGGGAACGGTACATGGTAAGCATAAATAAAATCCGGCTTTCCATGGACCACTGCCTACCGTATTTTGTCAAGACTATCCTTTCTGTCATCTGCTTTTGTCCATGGTTGCCCTCATGCCCAGGTTAGTCCTTGGCAGTAGCCAAGACTGAGCCAATTAGGCTGGATGTTATACCCAGTCAATGCAACGTTACAGGGCTAATAAACTGACGCACTTCATTTTGCTAATCGAACAAGCCACAGCATGAATCGACAGTTTGGGCGGCGAGGAAACCTTACTGCACTTCAGCCTTCCTATGAAAACTCAGCCACCGAAATACGTTAGATGGCTGGCGCATTAAGTATGGAATACATGCCCGGATGTTCAAAGCTTGTGGATGCCAAGGGATCGGTTCACATAAGCACGTCTGGAACATCTCAGGGCAAATCGTCTTGCAGGTAATGATGGTAAGATCTTTACTACCAGGAGTTCATGTATGCATGAAGTGGCGTTATCAAAGCAGCGTTATTAATGGACTGGAAAATAAGATGGGCTCAAAGTGCGATTTTGGCCTAAAGCTTACCCGACTAATAGTAATCTGCTAACTCTGGCTCACTCCTGAACTTGCACACATTCGGCCTCGAGTTTTCAGATGCGAATATGGAACAGTGGTGATTCATTTGTGGAGCGAGGAACGGAGCTATTGTTGTTATCTGTTCAGAAAGAAATCCCATCCGTTTTGAAGTTATTGTGACCATTTCAAACGGTGAAATAACGAGATTTATGGGAGCTACCGGGATTTCTGTTGACTTGGCACAGGATGTTTGACTAGGTCCTAAAGAGATTACCCACAACCAGGTTAATTCGTGAAATACACTCATTTGAAGAATAGTTTGGTCTCAACGGGGAACTAAGCTGAGTGCCAGCTGGATCTGTCGTTTGCAATAACCTTTGAGTAGAACAAGATTGTAATTGACCCGGACTGTGCCCAACTGACGAGTCCCTAGAAGAACGAAACCGCTCGTGGATTGTCGATGAGTTTTCAGTAGACTTATTAGTAGCGTGTTTTGTCTAGACTCGTCTTTTTGTGAATCCGGTATGCCGTCGTAGGGAATTACTTTTTCTACTCAACAAAGAATGAACTGTTACGTGTCGAGTCAAATATTCGTAAACAAACTGAGGTGGTATTACCTCAAGAGCCAGAAGAATATTTCGTTTGAATTCTTCAACTGAATTTGACGCCAAGTGGCTACCCCACAATGTACTTGGGTGGACATCCAAGATAGAGGGACATTGATATAAGGTCTTACAGGTGATACTTGACTGTACAAGAGCTAGAATAACCCAGCATAACATCCAGCTGTCGCCGAAGACTGCACATTTCACAAGAAACTTTTCGTCCGTATGGATTGACTTGCATAAATACCATCGCCAGGCATCGAGGGTTGCATTGTTTGGCGTAAATACTACTCACAAAAAAACTCTGGTTCAACTGAAGCAAGGGCCGCGATGTCAGAGGACCCAACTCAATTACAAAATGACGAATCCAGTATGAATATTACTATTCTGCAGGAATACCCAAAATTAAATTAGGTGGACATTGTTTCATCCAAATACATAAGATACAGTGAGACAGCTTGGGAACAATAAAAACGGAGGTAAAAAAACAAGAAAAGATGCAACAAAGACAATAAAACCAATAGCTTGAATAAAATGAAAAACATTGCGCGAATAACATATTGATGTTAGAAACCCATTTCACAGTGAAAGACAACGGTTGTTAACCACACATGGAATGAAAAGCATAACAATACCTAACGGGAACAGAGACGAATAACAGGAAACCAGTTCCGCCTCACAATATACAACAATAAAAGAAACTGTGCAAAAAACAGCGCGCCAATTTGAGGGTAATGACAGTCAGTGGATAAATATTGCAGCCCCGCGGTTGTGTGAAATTCATTGCCACATTCGTGATCCACGTTCACAGCATAGGTTCCTGACACAGCTGACTCTAATCGCGTCAGAGAGCATAAGTAGTTAGATTCCCCGGCTATATCCAAGGGGCCACAAGCCGGTGGCCAAAGCGGATAAACACGCGTATCACTTGATCCGGTGAGGTTTCGATAGAGAAAACGGACAAAATAGTCCTCTGTTTCCGTGGGCTTATGATGCAATTCGACAATCAGACAGCTAGCCAGAGGTGGTACACGTCTGCAGGGTGAGAAAAAAAGTAGATAGAGCGACAATTATAGTGACATAACGGAACACGATTGCCTGACTGCATTTACAGTTTCATTTGATAACAAACAAAAAATCGTTCAGCTGTAGCGCCCCTTCGGTGCCTAGATACCATGCCACCCGAAGTAAGCACGAGGGCTGGGATACTGCCAGGTTGCCCAAGCCTAGACAAGGGAAGTCGAGAGGCAGAGGTCGGGTTCGAACCACGGACCTTCCGATCAGCAAATTCGCGCTCTAACCAATTGAGCCATCTTGCCCCCTCATAACAAACAAAACGAGATAAAAACACAGCACTGACTGCCAGATCGATCGTATCATGAATTAGCGATTGGTAGAAGACAGTACCTTCCATGCTTGTGTTCTGTCATTCTCAGTCGGATGGGGAGGAGAACAGTCAGAGGGGCACAAAAACTTTAACAAAACGTTGAACAGTCAGAGGGACACAAAAGCTTTAACAAAACGTTCAATGACCGATTGAGGTCTTGAAAATTTCTTTAATTTCCATTGACGATGGTTTTCAAGATAGAGGCCAACAGCCAACCGCAACAAACTCATACCAAAAATAGAATCTGGGGTCATCCACAAGTAGATTCATGATAGAGGAACTCTCTTCTCTCGAGATCTAAATTGTCAAGAAACATGGCTGCTTCTGAGGAATCAAGTGTTATTCTTGACTTTCTACAATGCTCGTGGGGGGTCTGCTAAGTAAACATCCATGTTATTTGGACCTGAAAATGGCAAGCACAAATGAGGGATTCGGTGCTACCGCGACTGATGGAAACTGCTAAGGGAACAAGCAGCCGATCCTGTTGCATCCACCTGATGAGTCGGGGTCAAGACAAAATGTGTTGTGAACAGCTTTACAAGAACGACCAAATCCTGAGCCTAAACGTCACAAGCCGGCATGCTGTATGGAGAGCAGGAGCTGAGGACGAGAAATTGGCATATCTAGTAGTGTCTATACAACCGTCTTCAGCACATGATGAAATCCGCCCATTCGCTCCATGCATAATAGCTTCATGCACGTGCTCCAAGGATACCAGCTACAGTATTAAGTCCGTCACCGGCGGGTGTGTGACATTGATTTTGCGGACAGAAATGACGATGTACAATTTTATTGTATTTTAGATATTACTGATGAAAGAAACTGCAACTTTCCACACGAATGTACAATGTGCGAGGCGTTATCAAGGCCATTAGCTCTTACTGCTTTCCTTCGCTTCCGTCCAACCCAAAACAGCCGAATTTGCAGTTTTGATTTGATATGCATCGTACTTCTAAGGTCACACGACATGGTGACTGAATGCGAAACACGGTTACGGTTATTCCATTGATGCAATCGATAATTGCCCGTTGGTTTCAGTCGGCAAGGGCGATGTTGACGGATTCATTCAATAACTCCTCTGAGTCAGGACATGAGCGTTTTGGAGATGACTAACATCAATTTGAGTTATGCGCCTAGTGTGGACGTCCGATTGCGTCAAGTAAAAGAAAGCGCGCGAACCTTCGTCATTATTCATGCACAAGGAACACATGTGAAACTACATGAGTGCCAGAATAGGCAACAGATGCAATGCAATAAAATCTGCTTGATTAAAAAGTAGGGTGGTTAACCTATTCGGGAAAACTCGGAGCGGCAAGCATATGCTTATGAGTCACTAGTTAAAAAATAGTTCAGCTGTCGCACCCTTTCAGTGCCTTCCGGTCCGTAAGCTGGTAATAAGTGGAAAACAGGTTTCTCATTGAACGTGACGGTCATGGATGACCAGCAAACATCCTGCTCTGTCTGGGTTTGAAACACGAGCATGAGGAAGCCGCCTTGCACACGAAGTAGCCATGTTAACAGAGGATTACATCTTATGGAATTATGAAGGGAAGATGACAGTCACTGATGATAACGTTTTAAAGGTTGAACCTACTAGCAGATGGAATTCATTGCAATGAAAATTTACGCGTTTAGAGCGGACAGAAACACCGGAAAACCTAACGGAAATCTAGAAGTAACACCAGATTGATTTCTGGTCATGGAGTGTGGTGAAAGTGAGACCAACCGAAGTAATAGGCCCTTCCTACACACCGATTGAAAATGCCGAGGTGACTCATCATCGCAACCAGGGTTGAATCGTGTGCGAAATATGCGACTAATCGTTGGTACGGGCGAACCACATCCGTGTTGAAATTCGGCACAAACAGTGGTAGTGGAGCGACTATTTTCTTCGGGTTCTGTTTTGCCGGTGGGAGTTCAGATAGATGAAAGTTGGCGCGCGTGCGAAGCAGTTGGAGCAAGTGAGAAACCAGGGGACCACCACGGAACCGAGTAATGGATGGGGTTGAGTAACGAATCGAAAACTTGAAATCCATCATTTGTGCACACTGCCGCACCATTTCCGTGGATAACCAGTGAGGTCGTGGAAGGTTGCGTGAGTTCCATACACCAATCGCGTCACAAATCTTCCAACCTGCTCGTAATCGATCAGCCGGAGTGGGATTCACTGGAAACATGACCGCTAGTCATTGATAACCGGGGACGAGAAAGAAATGTGGATTGGTAACGACAATCAATTGAAAAGCCGAAAGATAGTGACAGAGGAACAATGCCCTAGAGTTGCAAACAGGGAATTCTAAAATAACATTTTGCCTTCCAGCGGATCTCAGAAAACCATCAAGCCAAGTTCAGATCCAAGTATAGGTAGGCATACCTTATGGCAGACCACTTTTTAAATGAATCACCAAAAGGTACAACCTTTTCATATATTTCAACTACTTTTGGGGGATTTAACCCTCACCATTTCCAGATGTACACAAACTCTGTCTTCCATCTCTATACAATGACCTTAGTATTACACCCCAATCGTTTTCTGATGTCCTGCGTGCGCCCGTGTGCAGAACAGTCTTTGAAAGTAACAATCCCGCTAGACAGGCAGTAAGGACCAAGGAATTGACATACTGAAATAATATCTTTCCTCTTCACGCAGAAACGGAGAATGTATTTTTGTGTTCGGATTAGAGAATCGACAGGACTGACATTTCAGACCAGCAAGTATCTCCCATCGTGATACCAACTATAGTGAACTTATTCTTTCCTTTTCTGCTTCCAGCAGCACACCAAGCTACCAGGATAATCCATATCGCACTTCTCATTATTCACATTTGCGATTGCACAAGTCGTAGCCGCTTGCTTGACTCTGTCGACCAAATGGATACTACCAACAAACGAATCTTCCTTATTGTCCGGAAGATTTTGGGATAATTCATGGCAAGTTTCACCCTCAAATCCGAGTCAGAAGCCTTGTGATTTGTTCCTTTTCTGGTAGATAAGCCAACAGGAGCCTCTACTCCGACTTATCAGGCGGATTTTTCGGGTGCCATTTGCTTTCTTGGAACACCAGATGTCAATTGGTATGTCTAGAGTAAGAGGAGTTTGCTGGCCGATCTTCTTGAGGGTCTGTGCGTTAAACGTTACAACAAAAGCACGAAGAATAAACTTGATTGGCAGAAACAAAGCGGATGTATGAGTTAATTCCCTAGATGTCTGACCGAAGTGGCCACATTTAGGACCTACACAAGAGTTGAGAGACGACAGTGAAGGATAGGAGGCGACAGCAGCTGCATTTTATGTATCAAATAGAACGACCTGGTTGATTCAACCACGCGATGTGGCATGAAGTCCCGGTTATTTAGATAGTTGACGGTTGTATATAGGCCGAAATGTTACCAAGATCTCCAAATTTAGATGGGATGAAGACTATAATCATCAACCAAGCCGTTTAGCTCATAAACCTGACCACGGGGCAGCAGCGATAAGCACAAAGCTATCACAGCAGTACCTAGGCTATCATGAGCGGAGCTTGCCAAGGTAACTGGATATTCGAGTTTCACCCCGTACCACTGCGCGAAGGATCAGCGAAGAGAGTTTTCACGCTTGCCAAAGCATACGGACGCAATGCTACTTAAGATCGCATTTTCTGTGTATGCTGGCACACGTCGATCTCACAGGTGGATGAGTTTAGGCGGCACAAACGAAGGAAGGTACGGTAACCCGGGTTGGACCGATCAATAAGGACGTATGGTGGACCCGTTTTGATGAGCTCCAGGGCACGGAGGTTGCAACGGTCCAGCGTGGCAAGACCACAGAAGGGTTTCAGCGTAGTCAGACGAAGTAGATCGCCAGATTTGTTCAAGCCCCTCCCCACCTTCCCGGAGGAACGTATTCACTGTGCATACTCGCAGTCAGCTACCCATTGGCGAATAGCAGAAACTGTGTGACAGTGCTGGAGTTAGCTCCGAGGCTATGGTGCTACATACTGACCGGGAGGCCCATGATTCGAGTTCAACGCTGAACTATCAGTGAACCCTACTCGGGCTTCAGCAACTACCCGATTTCACCATGCTTAAATAGGGTATAGTGGTGGGCTATACCACATGGTTACAGAAGCTGAAGGATTTGAGTTGAATATCATACATGGAAGCACACTAGTCCATCTTACTCCTAACGCACTCCGCTTCACCCCAGCTGGGCAACGACCGGATACGAGTCATTACTGCCCTAAACACCCACCTTGCCAGCATCTTCGATAGGAGCTTACCACTAAATAAATAAAATCGCTCTACTGCAACAGCCTTTCAGTGCCTACCTGCTATGCCACTCGAAGAAAGCACAAGAGCTGTGATGGTGCCAGATTGTCTAAGCCTAGACAGGAAAGTCGAGATGCAAAGGGTTCGAGCCCAGTGCCTACCTGCTATGCCACTCGAAGAAAGCACAAGAGCTGTGATGGTGCCAGATTGTCTAAGCCTAGACAGGAAAGTCGAGATGCAAAGATCGGGTTCGAGCCAAGGACCTTCCCGTTAATAAATTCGCGCCCTAACCACTGGGCCTTCTCGTCCCCGACGTTGTTTTGATAAGATTTTAAGCACACCTTTTCAATAAACATGAAAAAGAAGCATCCATAAGTCTTAACCGAGGGGTTTTGTCCGAAATAATTGCAACCAAGCTTCCTGCTACATGTTTGATAGAAGCTTACTCCACAATGAACGCATTTGTCAAAATTCGGTCTCAAATGTAAATGCACACGGAAACCGCTAACCCGCAGTGTAGTAATCCTAATTACAGAACTCGAACTTTTGAGGATTCCGGCAGAAAAATTAGAGGAAGCCAGATTGCGAATTTGGAAGCCCCAAGTTAGTTATCTATTCGCCAAATAGAGGGTGGTGCACGGAGTCCGTGATTGGCTTGGGGCCAACGACTGAGGTCCTATTCATGTGCCCGGTGGGCTTCATCACTCCTGGTGCTTGTACGGTTGAACACCGCAGTTGCTGGAGTCTATCGTAGTCTATCCAACTCACTTAGGCAGAAAACGAATGGTTTATCAACCCTCCATTGCCCTTAACTTTGACGAAGACACGTCCATAATGAGAAGGCAGCGAACAAGACCTTTTTCAGCATTCCGACGGTAGCTGGTAAGCGTCAGGCCGGACCAACTTCGCAGCACCCGCACCTGATCATACCGGGATATTATGAAGCTAACAGCGGTCTATTGTGATGAGAAATTCAGTCAAAGACAACCTGCCCTCGGTGTTAACTCTGCCTGAAACTAACCAGTTTGTGTTTACTACTTACTTGCACATTATCGTGCAAAATAATTACAAGAGTGGGTGCAGCATGACCGAATGACCTCCTAATAATAAGAAGACTAGAAAAAATACAGTTAAATAAGAGTAATTCGGAAGAACTGAAGACATTTGGGGTAGCTGCGAGGTGCCGAAGATTAACTTACGGAATCGTCGCTCAAAAATGTCCAAAATCACCATGAACTTTTTTTCTGCGATCTCGACGTCTTCTGAACTCATTAATTTCCGATGTAAATTGAAGAAGTTGGGACAATTTCCTGACATTTTTAGCAAATGATCTGTGGCTAACGGAATAGAGAAAACTGGGGGTGATGTGAAACTCGTTGACGCGGTTTCATAAAGTCCTCGGACAAAGCTGTTGGCTGACATCAACGTCCTCTCTGTTCCAGAACTGAGAAATAACGTCTCATCCTGTATTATGGTAATGTGAATTTTTCCTCACAGTTGGCTTACCGGAAGATATGACGTGGAAAGTAAACTCGGATAAAAGGAACGAATAAACGTTCCGAGGGAAACATGTTGTTCTGCACCATGACGAGTTAGTTGCCCATAGCCTTGAGTCCAAAGGTTTCTGTAAGGATCCTCGGGAATCTTATGAATAGGAGTTCTGTCACCATGACGACTAAGAGTGAATAGGAAGATCGGTGGTGTACCGTTTAGATCCCAGTATTCATCAGAAGTTGTGAGTTGTAAGAAGGAAACGTACAAAAGACCCAGGCAGCTTAACCACATCGTTCAAGCGAAGGATTACAACAGAGCCACCCAAGTAGATCGAAAGATTGCAGGATGGCTGTGCCTGAAAGGATTAACATCGCTAAATTAAAAGGTCAAACTGACCCAAATAAATTCAGCTTCGTTATAGGTGGTATGAAATAAGTCCTAATGAGCTAAATAAATTTGTATATGATTTCTCATTTCAACTCCATAATGGAGAAAATACAACAAATGAAGAGGCCACATCCTTCCTCTTTTAATCCAAAACGATACGTACATCAATAATGTCCTAATTCCAGTTTCGCAGCATTTTCAATCAGTCACATGGTCGGAAGTAGCCAGCAACTATGAGATCCTATTTCCGTAGCTTCATCTCCCGCATTAGGGTGGCACAAAGCAGTAAAATACCGTCCTGGAAAGTCAACTCGCATAATCCAAGCAAAGCCTCTCTCATTGTCACAGAAAATGACGATAACTATATCCACTGAGACTGTGCTGGAAAGAAGCAACAATAATGGCTTTTGAAAATCCATTCATCGTTTGCTGCGCAGGTGTGTAATGTGAAAGCAAGCTGCATTCATTGTCTGCTCAACTGGAAAAAAGTCAACGTGCGTTCCAGGGTTGCCTATTCACGTTGTCGTGCAGTGAAGCATCAGTGTCAACACTGACGTTGCTGTCGTCGAAAACGATGACGTCGTCGTGAAGAGACTCGATCTCATCATGTTGTGACGGTTCGTGTACCTCAGTAACCCACCGAGGAGTACTGGAGGATGTCCGTGTAGCACCCAGTTTCTAATACCTAGTTGATCAGTGTATAAGGGTCTGAAGGAGTATTCTAGCGCTTCTTGAAATTTGGGCTACTCGAGTAGTCTTAAGCCAACTGCCACCGCAGTCAGGCTTTGGTCGAAGACCCTAGTCATCCTCCTGTTTATATTTCTGGCGCCCTGGTAGCAGTTCAGTCCATAAACGACAATTAAATTACCATGTGAAAGTATCTTCATGCCACTTCAGCTGTCGAGTAGAACAGCAGCCAGGTTGTTTTATTTACTGAAAACAGCAGGTCGGATAAGCGAAAAATTTGAGTGCTGGTGCCGTCTATCTTTCTTCACTGTTATCCCTTAACTCCCGACTTGCCCTAGATGACAGCTTCTTACGTAGATGCAAGCTGTAGACAATTCAGTCAGGCGCCTATGGAGCTGACAAAGTACACCGCTTCTCACACCTGACGCTCGGTAATCACGAGTTAGGATCCGTCCTCCCGTTTTTATCGCGGGTTTCAACATGGTAACTCATAGGCAGATGAGCCAACAAGCTGATCTTGCGTATACGGTGTCGGTCAACGTCTTTCGTATCTCTGAAACTCGACACTACAGACTGCTAACTTCGGGTGATTCTGAAGTTACTGTAGCTGGTTGCGCGGGTGTTATTATGTAACCACAATATGACCATAATAATAATATAATGCTCATAATATGATAATATGGCCGTAAGTTAGCAGGGCGAGCCTTTATTGCCCAAATGGATACCTGCATTGTCCGGCGCTCTACTCAAATGATAAATTGGACTGGCTGAAATACTAAGCACTCTGTTTACTATAACCGTTTATGTGGACCAATGAACCGTAGCAGCTGTAACTAATATGCCTAAACACTCTGCTGCTTGAGCTTGCATTCATTTAAAAACACCTACTCATAACTGCCTGTCCTCTTATCCACCAAGAACAGCCCACAATTAGCCATTAAAGCGGGAGATTCAACAGATATCATCATCATCATCGACAGCATGACATCAGTGTTCAACACGGACGCTTCACTTTCAACAGATAGGTAGAACGGCTCGGTTCACCTCAAACAGGCTTTGGCGGTATGTTTAGTCTGAACGCAAAACGCAATGCTAACGGTGAACTCCTTTTGAAACACTGTGCTGATCACCAGTTGGTCCTCAGCAGTATTGATTTTGGACACAGTGGGGGCCCCAAACGTAGAATAGCCTTGGAATCAATCTGGCCACACCGCTATTAGCTTGCGATCGGGCGGTTCAATCCTTGACTCATGATCGTTTTGAAACCCACAAGCAGATACAGAACAAGCTTTCAGTCGGTGCAGTCTCATTGAGCCTTCCCACTTAACAGCAGACTTTTAGAGAAATACAGCGGAGCTAATTAGGCAGTGTATTACAGGCGGCCTCCTGTGAGGTAACTGGCCATAACTCGGATGCGAGAGCCATGGCTAAACGTAACTCTACGAGCTCTGTTTGTGCTTCGCAAGCGCGCAAATGGAACATTCACTATCACTTCAAGAAGCGATGCGCTCTATCCCTTCTGGTTCAGAGTACAATTCGCATGGACGATCAGTTAGATGATAGCTCAAAGGCAGCCCGTGTGGGCAGAGAAACAGTGGTGCAATCAGCAAGTTCAAAGAACGGAAGAGCCCAGCGTGGCTTGGAATGCACGGAAAGTACTCCAGCTACTTATCGAAACAGGACTCACAAGACCCTCCATAGGTGACTCGGTCAAAAGTGATATTGGAAATTCAGCATGTAATGTAGACTAGTCTCGACAACTGGCTGGCAAGAAGAGACCGGACATTACGGTGATGTGATGGTTTGTGTACCGGCGCGACCCACTGAGCTACACCGGGACAATCTGCGCGAAAATCGAAGTCTCCCATATCAGGTTGGTCAATTTTCAAAACGCTGACGAACAGTCTCCTGATCCTCCAGGTTGAGGTTTGGATGATGCGTAGCGACATGTTCAATAAGTGGTATTGCACTTACATTATCCATCAAACATTAAACACGTGCAACCATGAATTGCACACATACAGATAAACTCATGGCACATCGGCTGTCGCTTGGTTTCACCGGATCGCAAAATATAACGTCAAGAATCCCGGTAACTTTGCGCTTCTTTGAAAACTTAGAATGAAGAGACTGAGATTGTTGACCGGTTCACGCATGTTGGCAACTTCATAATCTGTGATTGCGCTGTAATATACGAAGCCAATATGCGGATGATCAAAACATGAGTAGCGTCAGGCAAAGTGCGTCACTTACAGCGCTAGATCGAAATTCGCTGAAGCTAAAGGACCGCATGTGCAAGGCAACTTCAAGAGAAGGCTAACCCTACAGTTGCCAATTCTGACCGCAACTGTCCGAGCACAGTAGGCTAGTATCGCCATAGCATAGCATGACTTGCAGTGGTTGCGCAACGAAGTGGTGGGCGAGCGGGTGATTGGCAACGAATACGATTCGTCAGAACAGGCTCACCAGGTTGGGGTATGTTACGTACGCCAAACTGCCGTCCGCTGAAAGCGTTCTACTCCGAGCAATTGTTGGCGAAATATTCGCGGGGCTCAGGGTAGATCTCTCATTTTGTACTGGGTGCATGTGGGTTGAGGTTCATAAAGAACGCTGTGCCGATCCAGATAGTATTGCACTGCTCCAATATGATACGCAGAGTTGTTAATTTTACTGCCGTCAAAAGATGCAGCCATCTCATATTCATTTCCTTAAAGATGTGTGGCCTCTTCACATCAAGTTCTTTTGTACTGATTGCAGCGCCTCGGACCAGTTCTTGGTCTCATCCTCCCAAGCTAGTGCACAAATTGTACTGGAGAGCAGAACCAGGTCAGAAACACATATAGAGCACGCTGTATTCAGAATATATGCAGCAACAGCACTGAAAACTTAGGCAACTCCGGGTGCGGCACTGGCAACCGGTATACGGCAGGCACCGAAACATGATTTGATGTTGGGATCACATTTCCGGCCAACCAGAGATCGCCGTGATGCTGGACCCGCTGGTGGCGCGAACGGGTGACTGGTGTGATATGACAGCGCGTATCAAATTATCCAAACTCATTGCGTGGATGTTCTGACAGCACGTGATGATGGGTATTTGGTTCGCGGTACTTTCGAAATCAGCTTCGTTCTTCTCTCGTGCAAATTTGCTAAAGATTTCTTTCGCTGTTCAGCCTATCCATAGAGTACACACGAGTCATTTGTTGAATTTTCCAAGTCTATCATACAGACTGCTTTCTGCAACCATCGGCCAAAACAAATGCGGGCGAAGTGGCTGTCCATCGAAGGCAAGACGCGGCATGCAATGCCACACTTGCAAGGTTTGGTGACACTTAAAATACATAGGTTTACAGAACGACCAGGTAATCCAATTAGCTAACTCTCCCGACCAGTTTGTCTGCGCCAGCCAAAGGCAGTGGCGCCCTGGGGGAGGTATTCCTTTCGTGGAAACAGCGCCAAAAGTACGTACAGCTATCAGAGCTTCCTTCCGTAGCAGACGATAAGACGCGTCAGTGAACTCCCCAAAGTCACAGCTGCGCAGCTGGATTGATTCGGTTGTGCAGGGACAAGCAGCGAAGCCCACCAATAAATCGACCACATGCTTTGACCTCGACATTGAGGAATGCTGCGCGACAACCGTACGACCACTGAAAATGTGAAACTGTCAGTCTCCAGCTCCACTCCGCCAAGAGTACTCTTTGCCTGTGGGAACAGTGGTCACCCAGGACCCCGACAGCCAAAGCCACAAACGTGACCGCAGTGAACCGAAAAATCCCTCGTACACCCAGTTGGCAACGCTGATCGCACTCGTATCGGGTGTGTACACAAGCACGTAAGAGAGGCGAGCGAGCCAAACAAGCCACGTAAGATTCGCCAAATCAGAAAATTACTGGCTGGCTTCAAGGTGCAGTCCTCTGCGAAAACGGGCCTCATGGGAGCGCCACCAAATGAATTAATTTTTGGTCGTGCCACCCAGCGCTCAGGGACTCACCGAGACACCTTACCGATCAGACCGCGTCAAAACGCCAAAGAAACCAGACGGACGAAGGTTTGCCCTTATCTTTGACCAACAGCAAATCTGGTCGTTTAAAGGCGATGTTGAAAGAGTTATAAGTGGCAGTGGTCAAAATTTCCGCCCACGGGGAGAAAACTTTTTTCCCCAATAGGTAAAAAGTTCGAGAAAACTGGGACCACACAGGGCGAAAAAACTCTGCAGGTGTAAAACATCCCCAGAAACCGTCAAGACAGGAGGCAGACAAGTGTGCGCCTTAAGCCCCTATGGAGTATTGATCTCAAACCCGATGTACAACTATTAAGTCTGCTAACCTTTCTGGTCACACAACTATCGGCCGCTCACCCTCGAATGCAGCGGAGGCAGTGCTGAAATGCTTGTCAGAAAAATTGCCAAGCCTTTCCAAAGAAATTTGTGATAATAGACTGTCAGCTTGCCCTGAACAACCGCCCGTTATCGCACTAGCGTTATCGCACTGGTTCACACCAGATGTCTCTGATGCGTAGATGACAATAGAGGGTTACTTCGTTGTTCCAGCTGACTCAAAACCAGTAGGGCTGGTGGGGTTGCTCTATACTTACATGCGGCGCTACGAATCTCGACTGTCTTCTGTGATACCACTCCTGCATCTTTTTGCGATGCACTGTGGATCTGAATATCATTGCGCGGGTCTGATTTCCACCTTCTCGTTGTGGCCTACCGTAGCCTCTCGAGTCTCCCCGAGGATGACCAATTCCTCATACGAACCCTTGAGCAACCCTCCTGCAACAACCACTTCATTCATCTCCTGCTGGTAGG